CCCCAAAAATACAAAAACACAACAGAACAAAACAAAGTAAGAAATATACACTGGGTGTTTTGGGCATAGCCCTACTTCAACAGACACGTGGAATGACTATCCAGTGGAAGTTTCTGATGTTATTTTACCAGCAAAATTCTGTCCACTTACTGTGAGAAGGGCAGGTATGACATTCTCCAGTATGCGACCAATCACGTGGAAGCTGTAGGCGTCATCCTGTCGCAGGATGTTGGCCCCCATGAAGGTAAACACGGACATCATGTTGTGCAGCAGCAGGGTCTGGCAACGCACGGAGGGGAAATGGGAGGTCAAGGTCATGGGGGATGTATAAAAGTATCAACTTTTGCAAATCTGAGGCCTATTCCCTACTTTGTGACAGCGAGCTTAGTATGCCCATGTTACCACTTTCAACATTTAAAAAATAGGTTTCAATCTACAAGCTTGTATTTCAAACTAAAATATTCAGAAAAGAATGAAGATTTGGTATTATGAGGATAAAGCTATAGGCCTAGAACAGATATTTATGATGAATGGGGAAAACAAATAAAACCTGGAATGCAGCGTCTACTCAGCAGCGCCTTTCAAAGCCAAAATTTCATCAGAATCAAATAATAACAATGGCAACATACATTAAAAAAGAAGCAAAGAAATGAGAGAGGTCAAAACGAGAGGAGAAAGGTGGAGGGTCAACTTACCGGAGCAATCTTGGCGGCAGCGCTGAGCAGCAACAGCGCCTGTTGGTGTGTGTGCGGGTTGTCTGAGGTTTGAATACACTGAACCACTAGCTCCATGTTGAGGTGCTCTCCCTTCACACCTGAGGACAGACAATGTTTTAGTTTAGTAGAGTTTTTACCGCACTCGCAACTGCATAAGGTCATATGAGCGCCAAGAGGAGGATGTCAACAGAGAACTCCTTACAGGGAATCAGGTTCATTCTGCTCACCTCTCTAGCTTCAACAGCACAAAGTCTTCTTCGACTATCAAAGCACCCCAGAAATAGCAGGCCACAAGAGTGTGACAAATATACAAAAGAAGTAGAGGATAAATGACGATAGTAAGGATTAGGAAAGAAAAAGCAGCAGTTCCCTGTTGCAGTTCAGGCACAGTTATGGGCATAACATTGATGAATCAACACATTTACAATTAAAATTCTACCATGAATACGAACATGTTAATGTACCCCCTTTGGCAATGGCCTAAAGACACTTCAGTCAGTAGCACCGCCCCGGGGGGTAGGACAGACAATGTCACGACATGAGGACACGTGACCATGAGATGGTGTGAGGGTGTGTTTGCGCAAGATAAGATAAATCTTTATTTTTCAGATGCAGGAACATTGGTTTGGTGTTTCACCACACACACATGCATTTGTGAATTTTGAGTGTCAGTGGGTGTGTATGTGTTTTTTTGTTTTTCGTAAGTTTTATGGTACTACTTGCAACACAATTAGGTCATATAAGTGTTGAAGATTAAAGGTGTTACAAGGGAGTAACAAACACAAAAAAGAAGGAGGGGAGATAAAGACGATAGATGTTTGATAGGAAACAAGGAGCAAACCACACCAAATCATCCGCCAACCACCCACGGTGTATGTGTGTCTTCGTATGTACGAAGGTGTGTATAAAGGTGTGTATGTATGTGTGTAAATGTGTATGTAATAGTATGCAGCAAGTGGAAGAATGGAGTGGATGGAATAGGGAGATACATACAGCAGCTTAACTGTCTTTTTGAATACAGAAAACAGCAATCACGCACACTGACAAACATTTTTTCATCAAGTTTTTAAAAGAGGATTATCCGTGTCTGATCTTTGTCTGAGAGGGAGGCAGAGACAAATACAGAGACAGACAGACAGACATACAGAAAGACAAACATAGTGAAAAAGAAACAAAAGATACCAAGAGACAAATACAGCACCCAGAAGTTTTTTGTTTTGTTTTAGCAACTGTTTTACAGCACTTGCAACACAATAAGGTCATATAAGTGCCGAAGATGAGAGGTGTTACAAGAGAGTAACAAACACAAAAAAGAAGGAGGGGAGATAAAGATGATAGATGTTTGATAGGAAAGAAGAAAACCACACCAGAGCACCCACCAACCACCCACTCACCCCAAAGTGCAAGTCACACAGAGCCCTACCACAATAACACTACAGGAGAAGGTGTACAACAGAGGAAATAAACAGGATGGCCCAGTAATGAAACATACCCGTCTTTACTTGTGCTACGATCCAGAAGAAAAAGAAGGAAATAGCTTTAGTAGAGGTTTTACGGCGCTCGCAACTGCGTAAGGAAGAAGGAAATACAGAGACACACACACACAGACGTAGAGTTAGAGACAAAGAGACGGAAAAAAGAGACACAACAGTGTCATCACCTTGTGATCCCTGCACCTGTTGGCGTGAGCAGATGTTGTAGACGGTGCCCAGCACCAGCTGTTTCACGTACTCGCCCGAGCCCTCCTCCTCCAGCTCTAGGACTCTGTGGGACAATGGGCAGACCAGGGGAGAGGAAATTACATGAAACATTCGGAGTCAATTGACAAAAAGGATGTTGTTTTAGTTTTAGTAACTGTTTTACGGCATTTGCAACACAATAAGGTCAAATAAGTGCGGAAGATTACAGGTGTTACAAGAGAGTAACAAACACAAAAAAGGAGGGGAGATAAGGACGATAGCTTTTTGATAGGAGAGAAGAAGCAAACCACACAAGAGCATCCGCCAACCACCCACCAAAAAGGAAGACTAAATGGTTAAATTAAATGGGACAATAGTGACAGCACAAGTCAATATCTTACGTCAACAAGCAAGGAATGCCCACTGCATGTGAGTCAAATTTTTTCCACTGACAATTTTGTTTTTTTTATAGTTTGAGCAAAGACAAGCACATCGATACAAATATGGTTGTTTCGAGGGTAGCGTTGATACAATTTGTAAGTATGATGAAATTATAAGAGACATATGAAACTTTAAAACTTGAAGAAAATGGCCAAAATTCGACGAAAAAAGTAACTCATTTAGTCAGCACGCCTCACAAATGTGGACAAAAGCGGGCGCTCATGAGGCAACATCCGACTGACCTGGCCAGGAGCTGGAACAGCGCAGGAACCATCAGCTCAGCCTGCGTCACCTTCTTCTTGCTCTGCACAAGCTCCAGCAGGGACGTCACACGTCGCCACGGCAACGACTCCAGCCCCATCTCTCCAGGCTCGTCCTTCTTCTGGCTGTTAAAGACACAAACACGACACAGTGGAAAAAAGCAGCTTACAGCACAACACTAGATGTATAGTTTAGTTTTAGATACAGTTTTACGGCACTTGCAACACAAATAGGTTATATAAGTGCTGAAGACGAGGTGTCACAAGAGAGTAGCAAACACAAAAAAAGAAGGCGAGATAAGGACGATAGATGTTTGATAGGAAAAAAAAGAGCAACCCACACCAGAGTATCCGCCAACCATCCATAGTAAGAGTATATGGCACTTGCAACAAAAATAGGTCATATAAGTGCCAAAGACTAGAGTTGGCACTAGAGAGTAACATAAAAAGAAAAGAAAGTGAACTTCGAATTATCCAGCAACAAACACCCTGAATTTGCTAAAGTCCCATGTAATTATAACTGCAAGTATTTTACGCCTTCATCAACATAACTTACATCATTTAAAAGGCAGGCTGCTTCGACCTTACATGTCAAAACCACCCTAAGCAGAGAAGGAATCAACGTCCCAGCAGAAAAACAGAGACACTAGACAAAGACACTTTGATTAAAGAAAAGAAAAATAAAACCTCCTCTACGCAGGAACTGAACTCCCATCCTCTGGGCGTAACCAAGAAGAGCCTCACCCTACACCACAGACACCAGTGCCACCCAAAGTATCAAGTCTGGAAATGTTTGTTTTCCGTGCGTGTTTCCCGCGACTCACCTTCTCTGTTTCTTCGACTCTCTCACGGTGCCGGCCGATGTCTTGGTGGTGACCATCTTCAACTCATCCACCACGAGACTCGCCTCCAATGTCATCTGAGAAGAGAGACAGAAAAACTGTTAACAAACCGCAGTTGACCCTATCAAGAATGAGGCTCTGGAAGAAAATGAGAAAATGACACTCCCCCCCCCAAAGAAGGAAACAAATAACACTTCAAACCTGTTGGAACAAATGAGAAAATGACCCCCCCCCCCCCCAAATGCAGGAAACAAATAACACTTCAAACCTGCACACACATCCCCTTCCCCCTCCCTCCCCCATCCTGTCCCAAACCTCCTCACAAGGAACTGAATAGAAAACAACAGGAGAAAACAACCTAGAACAATCTAGAACAAACGACTCACCTTCTTGATGACCTTGCGCGACCGCCGTTGGACCTCGGTACTTGCGGTGAAGCTCATCATGTCCAGCAGCTGGATGACCAGTGCCCGGCGACACTCGTACTGGAGACCCGACATGAACTTGGAGGACAGCTGCCGAGGATTTTGGTTAGTTTTAGAAAGTGTTTTACAGCATTTGCAACACAAATAGGTCAGTTTAGTTTAGTTTTAGTAGAGGTTTTATGGCGCTCGCAACTGCATAAGGTCATATGAGCGCCAGAAGATTAGGTGTTACAAGAGAGTAACAAGCATAAAAAAGAAGAAGGGGAGATAAGGACGATAGATGTCTGATAGTCAAGAAGAAGCAAACCACACCAGAGCACCCGCGAACCACCCACCAAATAGGTCATATAAGCGACAAAGATTAGAGGTATTACTAGAGAGTAATATACAAAGAGAAAAAGGAGGAGGGATAAGGGTGATAGATTTTCGTCGGAAAAAAGGAGCAAACCATACCAGAGCACCCGCCAACCATCCACAACTGGAAGAAAAGACAGAAAAAAGCTCAAGATGTTAAATCTACAATATCGTCCTTCTTTTGTTCTCAGCATCATCACAGGCAATTACGAAACATGGCAAAAATGTCGCTGATCAAACTAACTTTTAAAGTTAAATTCTCTGTCACCACTAACTGCATAAACAAAACGAGGCAACAACACATATTCTACTCTGGTCCAGTGTTTATTACCAGAGCAATGTATGTATGTATGTGTGTACATGTGCGTGTGTGACCATGAGTATGTATGCCTGTGTGTGCACGTATGAGTATTTGGTGTGTTCACGCGTGTATGTCTCTTTGTCAATATGTACGCATGTATGCATGTGAGCGTAGGCCTATGTGTGAAGGCCTAAGTGTGTGCAAGCACATTCGAGTGTATGATGTATTCGTGTGCGAACGTATGTACATGTGAGAGTCAGTATATAATGTATACACCATACCTGCTCCAGAGCCACAATCTGCACCGTGTCGGATTGACCTCTGACCTTGAGAGGACACGCCAGTGCCCCCTGCAGCGCGCTCAGACTGCCCGAGCCCTCCTCCACACACGAGGCCACAGCACGTGTGTACCTCCCCAGCACCAGCATGATCGTCTCCTTCTCCTCTGAGGACAGGCTTGGCAATGTACTCTCTGACACCGCTGCTGGCGTCGCGGCGTCTGTCGTGGGAATCAAACTTGCCAGGACAGATGGTAGCTGCAGGAAACTCTCCTGGGGGGGGGGAAAAAAATCACATTGGACGATGTACAGTCATTTAGTTTTAGCAACAGTTTTACCACGCCACTTGCCATAGGAATTGGTCTCATATAAGTGCAGGAGATTAGAGGTGATTGTAGAGAGTAACGTTCAAAGAAAAGAAGGAAGAGAGATAAGGACAATAGATGTTTGTTAGGAAAGAAGGACCAAAGCAGACCAGGGCACCCGTTAACCACCCACCATTGTATAGTCAAGAAATCCGTGTCATCTGAATCATCTCAAAGAGAAGCCCAGACAAAATGCAACAGTCAAAGACCTCTGCCCTGACACAAAGACACTTGTAGAATAAAGAAAAGCACATTGACACAATAACCGTCATTTAGTGCAGGTAAAGTGTATGACAGACTGACAGACTGACAGACAGAAAGAGGACCTGCCAGTTGTACCCTCCAACCACCCACAAACCTGCTTTGTTGAGAAACAAAAGTTACTCAAATCTCAGGCGGCACAAACAAATTTTCCAAGTGTTCATCCATTTCACGAGACAACATGAAACATTATTTTTAGCCTCTGAAGCAAGTTCGGAAATCCAGATAAAGAGAAGCGTGCAGACACAATAATGGCTATTCAGTGGTCCAAAAAGTTAGACAGAAACGAGAGAGGGAGGAGCAGATGAATAAGACATACAGCTGAGATCAGATGCTGACCCCACAGTGACTGGAGAGAGAGAGAGAGAGAGAGACAGAGAGTGTGTTTTAAAGAGAGAGACAGAGAGTGTGTGAGAGAGACAGAGAGGGGGG